AAATGTATGCCTATCAAACACCGCTTTCCTCAAATCCTACTATGGATGTCTCACAACTGGAATCATCATTTTTGTTTGTTTAAAAGAAGAGTGGGTGGAAAAGAGGCTAATAGGATACTCCAAAGCTTAAATATTTAGAAGCTTTGGAGTATCCTATTAGCCTCTTTTCCACCCGCTCTTCTTTTAAACAAACAAAAATAGGTTGAAATGACCAAAGGACAAAGCTTTGTTCTCTCCCCACATTTCCCCGCAGTTCTCTTTAACCTGTCCCTAGTCCTCCCGCACTCTGCAGAGTAACATTCCAGGAAAACCTGCCAGGTGGGCCAAGCATGTTACTTACTGACTCTTGCACTTCAGTGGATCTCAATAAAGCAGAAACAGCCACAGACTACACTCGAGCACAAGCCTTGGCACGTTCAGCCTAACAGCAGGAGAACTTGAGTGAGCGGAAGGCTTTAATCAGCCAGCACACTGAGAACTGAAAGCTGGGAAGTAACACAACCACAAATAGGAGTTTATGAAAACAAAAGGCAGAGGAAGAATAACTTTACCAGAAGGAGAAATAGGAAAAAGTTGAACAATATCTAAGAGGCTCTCATTAGCTTGTGCGTTATGCGCCGTCAAGTCACAGCTTACTTAGGTTATTGTTCTCTGCCATTGAGTCACTGCCAACCTATGCCAAACACACAAATGAGTGGCCTCCAAAATGTTCTATCATCGACAGCCTTACTTAGCTCTTGCAGTCTCAAGGTTGTAGCTTCCTTTGTTGAGTCACTCCATCTCAATGTGTACCCACAGTTTAGTCAGAGTTTTCAAGTATTTGAGATATTTAAAGGGTTGTTTTACCAGTGCCTTTCTCCAAAAAGTTACTTTTGATGGTCAAGTAGGGATTTGACCCCAGATTTCCTGACTCCTCATCAGGATTCTATCTGCTACACAACACTGGCTCATTAGCTTATACAAACACAAAATTGAGTCCTTGGTATAGTTAATTAGGTTCTTAGATCCAAGAATTCTCTTTTTCTTCCAGATACAACTCAACCGTTCTCATTCTAACCAACATATCACCATCCCTCAGCAGTATCCTTTAAATCAGTGGATGCTAGCCTTGGATAGCTTAAGTGCTCTTGGACTTCAATTCCCAGAAGTCTTCACTACCAGTTCTGCTGGCCAGGGTTTCTGTGATTTGCAGTCCAAGAGCACCTGGGTTACCCAAGGTTAAAATTCACTGCTTTAAGTCCAGGGTGGTCAACTTTCAGCCTTCCAGATGTTATTGGACTCATTAGCTCAAATTACACACAGCAACAGTAAGAGATGAGAATCACAATCCAGCAATATTTGAAGAGTCTGAAGTTGCCTATCTTCCCTGTAAATCCTAAGACACTTCCATGACACATGTTCTCAAACACATAACATTTTCTGGTCACAGTTTCCTCAACTACTTTAACTGTACAGTTTATAAGAGAACTTCTATATAACTGTCATTTTTGTATGTCACATTCAGCTTATTCCTTATCATCAGTTATCATATAGGTATTAACTTTATGAAAAGACAGGCAGAGACAGAGAAAGAACTGCAGAGCTGGAAGAGACTGAATGGATTGAGACCAGCTCCTGTCAAGGGGAGAACTGAACTCCGAACCTCTGAAGGGAGCTATCCACAGAGCTATGATAGTGCTGAACAGTGGTTATCTAAAACCAGCAGCTATACATCAAATTGCTGGCGTAGATTGCTCAGCACTGACCAAGCTGGATGTAGATTTCTGGGAGTTATAATCCCTGGAAGTAATTTTTCTCAGCTTCAATGATTAGCTCTGCCCTAAGGCCTGGCAGAGTCTTTTTACAAGGAATGCAGAAGACCCCAGTGGAGATACATCTAAATCTGATGCAAACAAAAAGCAGCCACAGCAATGCTATGTAACCAAAAAAGGTAGAAACACAATGGCAGTTCCCACACATGTTTTTTTCATCTAAGCAAGATCATGAAAAGCACCAAGGAAGAGTATCACAGGATTTGTAGCAGGAATATCAAAGATCACACAATGGGAGAGTGATAATTCATTGCAGATGACTACATTAATCCTGTTAGGCTTTCTTTTTGCTAGATGGTTATAAACAATGCAATCTCCATGTTCCTTTTATTCAAAATTTCAGAAATATGTTTCTAGTCCCCTTTTGTCATTAGCACAAGACAGAGCCATCAATAGAAAAGCTAGTTAGCAAAGAACATATTTGCAAAGTTCAAGGAACTCAGCAAGAGGGCTCTGGTCCAGCCGATATGGGACACTGTTGTGGTTGACTTACGTACTTAAAGGCATGGCTTAGTGCTCCTCAAGAAAAGCACTCAGGAAATAATCCCAAAGCAGAATTAGCTGGTTAATACTTCCAGTCAATTCCAGGTTATTTTACCCACTAACTACATGTCTACAGGTACGTACACAAGGAGACAGAATTCTATAGCATTGTGTGTTAAGGATAAGGCAGCCAATCAGTTAGTGGTTTATCTACTATAACATTTAAATAAGGCAATCTGGTTTGTCTCTCTTCTCAGCAAGCTAAAGAAGGAGCCCAGGGTTTGCTCTTGCATTATTTCTCAGGTTAGTTACAGAAGACACTAAACAGTTTGCTGGGTTTGATGCTGACAGGAAACAAACCATGCATGGTCTTTTGGCTATTTCTATTTGTGGCAACTGGCTGGATAACTCAGTAAGTTAAATTTCTGATTTTGGGAGTTCAGTTCTCCACTGTGCATGTCAGAAGAGCCAGCCTGTGTGACCTTGGGCAAGCTACACAGTCCGTGAGCAATCTGCAAAGAAGGCATGTTAAACCACTTCTGGGTATTTTATACCTAGACGAGCAATCTGGAAAGAAGGCCTGGTAAACCACTTCTGGGTATTTTATACCTAGAAAATTCTGAAAGAGGTTGCCATAAGTCTGAATTGACTTAACATCTCAGATTTCTGGCCTTTTGTTGTGTGTGAACATGTCGTCTCAGAATTCTGGCCTTTTGTTGTGTGTGAACATGTCCATAGTAAGCAGTCTTTTTTGGATCAGTATACAATTACTTCGCATTCTGACTTTCTATATAGCATTGTGCCACCAAGAACACTAACTGATGTTAGTTTTATGTTGATTCGGCAATGTTGATTCAGAGACATAAATAAAGTCACCTTAGAATCCAGTTGAACCTTTAAAAACAATTGTTTTCTTTGGCTTTTATATGTTTAATAAACACACTACACACTGAAAACCAAAATATAACTTTAGAGATATTGATAATGCACACAAGAACAGAATTTAAGCATCACAGACAATTTAGCTGAAGCTTGTGATGGATTTTGTTATTATAGAAGAGCCATGGAAACCAATACTAGCTAATAATAATTCTTTTTGTGCGGTGCAACTTTAATTTTACTTAACAACATCATAAAGAACCAGGTCATGAATCCAAACTTCCTCAGACTGAAAACTCTAAGGCAGCAGCTTGGAGCCATGCAGGTAGTTTGGCTGCGCAGAACTTGGAACATCACGAGCAGCAACTGCTGTTTTTGAATGCTAGTGAGATTAAGTACTTCTTTATAATTCTTCTGTGGTTTCAAAAGATTGCCATGTTTGAAACTTAAAAGCATGACTTGATACAAAGGTTAAGAAAATGAACTAGCCACAAATGAGTTGCCCTGATTTATAGTGTAATTAATTGCATCCCGGGGGTTCCAGTTCATATGGCTCATGATGACATCAGAGCTCCTCCATGGGCCCATTTCCTTGTAAATCATTCTATCTCTATTCCTATGAATATATACTAGAGGCTATGGCCCTGCGGGAGGCCCTAGCTTACAAGATCATATGTTTAATAACCTAAGAGCAGATGATATTTCCCACAAGGAAGGTCTCCTGAAAGCTATGAAGTAGAGACATAAGAATTTAGAGTTACCCAGCTTCAGAACAAACCCCTCTTGCATGAATGTCTTTATAATATCAGCCATTAGATAAGTAACTGATTGGCAGCTAAACAAAGACCTCTGAACTCTCCTATTATCTCCTATTATTCTCATATCCCTGTTTGTTTCAGCACAGTTTTTTTAGCCCATTTAAAAAAGCAAACAGATGTCTGCATACTCTGGAACCAATCAGAGTCATCACTTTGTCCATTTAACCATGTGACCTCATCCTCCTTCGTGAAAACCTTCCTGTGCTCCTTTTTTCTGTTTATCAGTCTCTTGTGCCATGAGATTCTCATGCTTGTGGATTAAGATTTCAGGAGAAAGCCAAATGGAAAGAAGAAAGGGGAAAAAACCTACCACAATATGTAAGGTCTGAGCATACTTCTACCATATAGAGTACACTTTCTGAACTGGCCCTATCATTCCCCCAACCTTCTGAACTAGAGCTTAGTAAAGTTTCTTTTTTGGACGAGGACCTCCCAATCTCTTACTCTTCAAATCCTCATTCCCTTTTTAATGAGAGTTTGGCTGGAATCCTGTTGCTTAGTGTAGTAAGTCAGACTAGAGTAAGATCATTAAATCTGGGGGAATTTAATGAGTCAACCTCTCCATGAGTTCCATTGATTCAAATGGGCCTACTCTGGTTGTTGTTTAAAACTTTAGCATAGTAAGTCACAAATAGAGCAGGCCCATTTGAATCAATTGAACATACAAGGAAGTTGACCCACCGAATTCCCACTGATTCAGTGGCCCTACTCTAGAGTGAGTTACTGAGCTAAGCAACAGGATTTCAGCCTTTGTTTTCATTTTGAGCATAGCTTGAGTATCACTATCTTTCTATTACTCACAGGCCCAGTGAGAATGCACAGGGAAAAAGAGCAGCTCAAATTGAGATTAAATTCCACAAGAACAGAGATCAGACTTTTCTTCTTTGCTTGTATTGCCCATATCAGGTATATCAAGTACATATACTCAGGTATTTCATAAAGGAGGAGGAAGAGGAAGAGGAGGAGGAGAGCAGCAGCAGCAGCAGCAGCAACAAGCTTTAATACTTACGTTTAATACAGTGATTGGTCCCTGGAGCTGTTGTCCACCCTGAGCAGCACTGTCCCCCGCAGACATTTGGCCTAAGCAGTTGCAAACAAAAGATTGTGAAATAAATGTTTGTGGTTCCTTCAACTCCCGTCTATTGATTCAGCTACTGCAGGGACCTGTGCCTGCCAAATGGTGTTGGATTCCCATTCCCACCATCCTAACTAGCATGTGCAATGGTGTGGGATGATGGAGGGGTTACAGTGAGACATCTGGAGTATGCTAAATTCCTTAATCTTGAGCTAATACTAAGCATGCTTGAACATTCATTGGGAGATCTTAGGAGACAGACAAATCCACCACTGTGCACCTTTTGTATCTTTTTCAGAGCATGTACAGATTGCCTTTTTCAGAGATCAGTTACACTGCTTCATGAATTCTGCTTCTCCACAATCCAGAATTCTGAGAGATTTCATTAGATATTGGAAAGACTGCAGAAGTCCTCCTCCAGCTGACAGGGACAATGGAAGAAAAAGCATGATCTTAACATAATCTTAAGCATACCCACTCAAGCAGCACAGGGACATGGTGAAGAAAAGGACCTGCTTCCCTAGGTGAGTCTTCCTGTGTGCTCATCTATGCATTAATATATCAGAAGGCATGTCTGATATGTTGCCTTGCTGTGCAAAGTATTCAGAAATTTTAAAGCAATACTAAAACAAAAAATCAAAACAAATCATCTGCTTGAGGAATCAGGACTAGGGTTTGTGTGTTAATGTAAACATTTACAACACTTACCTATTAAACCTAAGCTTATTTTGTTGCATTCACAGCATATAAAATATGTGTTATTATAATCAACATATAAAGTTGAATGATTTAGAGTCTTAATAAATTGCATTTTGTCCAAGCAAACACTATTCATTCATTCATTCATTCATTCATTCATTCATTCATTCATTCATTCATTCATTCATTCATTTACCACCTCACTTAGGCAATATTCTAGGCAGTTTACCATCCAAAAGGAAAATATTTGACTGATGAACTGACTCTGCAAACCAAAGACTACACTAAAGGGGAAAAAATACAACTACAAATGCAAATAGCAAAGCAAACTAACCGAAACCTTAATGACGGTGGGATTGGGTGACTCACTTATAGATTGATTCTGGTTTCTAAATATCCTTGATAGTAGGGAGACAGTTCTGCTGATTTCCAAATCATAGGTTATTTAGGCACATTGCTTTGCTTTTTTTCATCTGAGAAATGGAGTTGGGGAAAGGTAAGGGAAAAAAGCCACAAAATATGTAGAAAATTAAAGGAAGTGTATTATTTGGACTGAATGTGTCTCATATAGCCACTGTATTGGGCAGGATATTTGAAAATCAATTTTCAAATTAAATTTTGTAACAAGTGTTTAAAATAAACTCTAGAATCTGTCTTACCTAAAATCTTCCTAATATCTATTTTGAATACATAAGATCTAAGACCAGGTGGGTGTATGTTAGATTAAGTCATGGTTTATCTGAAATTCTCCTCTCCATCTGCTTCATTTTGATATGGATGAAATGTGTTAAACTTCTCCAAACCATTACATAGCCTTGCTCTGTGCTCCTGGCACTTTAAATCTCCCAACATAATGGCCATTTCCTTTAATAGTTCAAAGACTATATTTCATAACGGGCATTTTTTTTAATATACCACTGACAACTTCTTATTTATGTTTTCCCCAGGCCACACCTGTCTCACAATGAATAAGGCCATATCACAGTTCCCATTCTTTCCTTAGGGTTTGCAAATTAGACTTCTGCAAAAATGCTGAACTTAACTGCCAAGAGGGAAAAACATTTCCTGTTCTTGCCTCAGTTATTGGCACAATCTGGCAGTGGTTTCTGCAGGCGAGACAACTACTCATTCACCTCACTAAGAGAACAGCTCTGGCTCTAAACCAAACCTGCAACTGCTGAAGATATAAACTCCAGAACCTTGGGTCTCAATGCCTTCTCATGCATATGCATACCTTGTTCACATTAAAAGGCAAGGTATATTGCTAACATGAGGGTGGCAATTTAAAAAGTAGCTTACTTATTTTGTTGTTTTGTCTAATATGAAGGGAGCCTTTTTACAAATTCCTGATAACCAAACCCCTATTCGGGCATTAGAAATGTGGGCAATCTCCACCCCTTCATCACTGCTTCCATCATAATGCATGCATGGAGGAAAACTCTGAGAATATTTTTCTGTCTCAGTAAGGGTTTCAGTGTTTGTTCTGTTAGGATTAGAGTTTGGAAAAGTTATTTTTGCAGGCTGCAACTCTCAGATTCTCTCAGCGTGCATAGCCAATGCCTGTTTATTGTCTTAAAATAGATCTGCAGGTAGCTTTGCCATCCGTGATAGCATTTCAGTACAAAACTAATAGGTCTGTGTTAGCTTAGCTCTAGTTCATCTCCCTGAAATAGATCATACCTGTGCATACTTACTTACTTGCTTACTTGCTTACTTACTTACTTACTTACTTACTTATTGCATTTCTTGCCTTCCTTTCTTCCAGTGCAGGACTCCAAGACAGTTATTATATTTAGTTAGTACTACTCTGCCCTTGTTAGTTTATATATTGCATATATTTCTATGCCACTCTTGCATGAAAAACAGCACTCAAGGTGATTTACAAATATCATAAAAATGCAATTGCCAGTGCTCTTGGGAATCCGCACTGAGGGATACTGGCAGTGGTACTCCAAAATAATTTTCCCAAGCTCTGGTTAAAAAACAAGGGTAGCATGTAAAAACTGGCACATATTATCTAAGACTTATTATCCCAGACTGCACAAACTACACTTTTTAATGGGGGTATGCATGAGGTAAGCTAATCCCTAAAAGAAATATCCTACTGGGATTCGTATGTAACCCTACTCTTCATATCTTCATGGAATGGAGAGCAAGACTGTCCTTGACCACCATGCTCTCCTCAACTGCTCACACATTTAGTGTTAGTATGAGGGGACAAGGAACACACATGAGTGAACACACACTGTTGAATTTTGGAGGATTCCTGTTTATAAATACAGCCTTCTAAACTGGCCATGTGACCACAGAAGATTGTCTTCAGACAAAACGCTGGCTCTGTGGCTTGGAAACGGGGATGAGCACCGCCCCCTAGAGTCGGACACGACTGGACAAAAATTGTCAAGGTTAACCTTTACCTTTACCTTTTAAACTGATGTCAAAGATACAAAGAATGGGAGGGAGGAATATGGAAGGGGGCAAGGCTGGCAGGCAAGATCCAGTTTGTGCTTGATATGTTTGCGAAGGTGTGAAGAGGGACCAAGCGAATGTACGTGCCCTATCAATTACATAATAATAGTTTTTCTTAAAAATCTTGTACTAGATCTTGCCCCTTCCCAATCCATAAACGAGACAGCAGGAGTGGTTGGTTCTCCAGACATTGCTCCATGCACTTCCCATAATCTACCACTGTTGGCTATAATAGCATAGAGTAATGCAGTTCAACAACATCTGAGCTGGAAAGTAAGAGACCAAAGAAAAAGAAAAAGAAAGCATGAGGCCATGTTGATCTGTAAAAATAAAACAAAGCTCAAATCTAAAGTAGGCAACACTTTTATTTGGGTCAATTGTAAGTGCACAAAATATGTAAATTTTAAAATCCTGTATTAGGGCATAAATAGAGATCAAGGATTCTTAGTATACTACATATATTAAAAAGTCAGCTTTTTGTAATATCTTATGGTTATGAAATGGTTGCCTCCCTTGACAGACTCTGTCCCAGAAACAAATTTTAACATTCCTCTGATAGCCAAGTTCACCTGGCAAGCAGGTTCTTGCCCTGACTAGGGCCTGCTAATTCAAGCAATTATTAGCTTGATAGTTCTGTTCTTCTATTAATGAACAATGGTCACTTTGTCTGTTCTTTGTATCATCACTTGGTCATGGAGACATGTATAAATATAGAGGGTGTGTTTGCACTTCTTGTGTCTGAAGTTCACATTGAAATAAATTTGTTAATATTTAAAGTGCCATAATATTTTTTCCTTTTCATCTAATTTTTTCTTTTACATTTTTTTGTCAACATATATGTTTCCAATCCTTGCTTAGAGTTCAGAAAAGTTGTTGATTTTTTTAAAAATGGAATCCTCCAGAGGACATGGCCACTGGCTATGTTGTTGGTGGTGGCGATTCTGTGAATTATCACCCCAAAGAGGTAACTTTTACAAGTCCTGCTGCTGCTGTAAAGATATATGATAGAGTTAAAGACTATAGAACAGTGGTTGCCAACCTTGGGTCCCCAGATGTTCTTGGACTGCATCCTCCAAAAATCCTAGCCAGCATGGTTAGTGGTGAAAGCTTCTGGGAGTTTTAATCCAAGAACACCTAGTGACACAAGGCTGGGAACCACTGCTATGGAAGAACCCTTTCTTCAGATCCTAAAACAAATGTGATGTAACAGAATTAGTTATATAACAGAATTATCCACACCTTATATCTGAGTAAGTTGTTGACCAAGTGTGCAATCTAATAAATGGACCTATATGGACCTATATATAGACCTATGTTTACAAAGAAGTGTTCTTCACTTCCATATTACACTTCAGATAAAGTATGTTTTGGAAACTTTAGGTATATATCTTCATAAAGTAATACACAAAGCAACTGTAAAGCAGTCTCAAGAGTTAGGAAAATTAATCTTAAGGAACATAACCAACAGGAGGAACAGAAAGACTCATTGGATTAGAATGGAGTAAGCCAAGGGTCTTGTTAATCTCTTCCAATTAAAGAGAATTTTAATGGGCAGCTCCAAGCATTGTTTCGGCACTGGCAAAATCTATAAGGTACAGAGATGACTAAAGGATCTGTTACTTTTCCTCTGCGCAATAACCAACCCGCAGAGCATCTGTTTGCACTTAAACAATTTATTCAACATTTGAGTAGCTTGAATGCTGTGTTGGTTTCTGTTGCCTTGTAAAGAATTCAAAATAAATTCCTGCAGCTTTGAGGACCACCACATATTTACAGCTTTGAGAGAGATGATGCTCCAAGGAAGGCAAAGCTAGTATCCTATATAGCAAAGCAGGAG